TATTATTAGTTTTTCTTCTTCTTCTTGATTTCTTTTTTTTGTTTTAACAAACTCTAATACTGTCAGCTTTCCAATAAGGCTAATTTACTTAGTTTGTCAAAGGAGCTACAGACCTTAATCCACTGCGCACCAGCAAAAGCCGCGCTGCTGATCTCTCCGTCACTCGTAAACACGGAGGCCCTGTGATCTCTGTCACAACCCCGCCCCTTACCTGCAGCCCATGTCGCACCACGTGCACCCTCTCCTTAAGTCCTCAAAATGACTCCACACAGAATTGCTGTGGACAACTGGAACACTGCAGACGTGATATGACCCTCTTTTTTTCTCCTGCATGCATACGCATGTCAAAGTCGCACGGGGTGAATTAGTAAAGGCATTCAAGCCAGAGCAATTATACCGAGTTTGAAAGCCATGAGAAGAAGTCATTCAGTGGGCTGATCAACACGGAAACCCCCCTAATGTTCTCCACGCTGTTTAGAAACTAAATAAGCACATTGAATAGCACACATGCTGGAAAATATTTTCACAAGAGCGAGGCATGAGAACATGAGCACACTGGCACTTCAGACAGGGAGATCACATGTCCTGTTGACTAGCAAGAATATGATGGGAAAGTAGAGAAAAAGAAGTTTGAATCAATAAAGACAGGACGTTTTAGCTAATGAGAGTGAAATAATAAATTCCCTGTTGAAAATGGGAAGAAAATTAAGTCGTATTGCTGATTCAAACATGGTGCAGGGCCTGCATTGAGCTGGTGTGGATGTGCTACGTGACTCCTCTCTTCTTTTTGCCATCTTCCAGACATACTCGCTTTCTCTTTATGCTTCTTTATTTCCAGCCAAGCACCCCCACCACCTCTTACTTTCCTCCACCTCCCTCCCTACATCCTCCCTCCCTCCCTCCCTCCCTCCAGTGGACTGTCACAGTGCTGAAATCACACCTGTGCTTCTCACACATCTCCGCACGCGGGTGAAACATACGCAGGGTGAAACATGGTGAGGGAGCTTTGCTGAATCTCATTAGCCAAGCGGGTAGTCATTAACAGAATGACCTTTGGAAATAATTACCAGCCTTCCTCCCTCCATCCCTCTTTCCCTCCCCCCCTTCCCTTCTCGCGCTCATCCATCCCTCTGCCCCCTCCCCCTCCCCTTCCTCGCTCAATAGTTCCTCCTAGGTGCGAGGGAGCGAGCAGGAGAAAAGGAGGGAGAGAATAGGCTGGTGAGGCAGGTCCCTGCTCCCGCTGCTGTTTAAGATTACAGGGTGAGCTGAACTTTCAGATTAGGTTAATCTGCTGGAAATGGGATTTGCCAACAACCTTTCCTCTGGCAGGTAGGCAGGTCACCTCAGTACCAAGAGACATGTGCCGTTCCATGTGATACTTGAGCCAGTGGCATCGGAGTGTGCTGCGCCGGCTGAGGTCAGACCAATGCCGTCGGCTCTGCAGGGTTCGAGTCAATCGACACCGCGTATGCACACATGCCGCGCACGCAGGACAGTCCTACTTTTGTGTGTATGCATATGAGCATAATAGCCTGTATTCAATATACAAATATTGAAGCATTACAGCCCTCGGGTACTGTACATGCAGGCATTCGTGGGGGGGGGGGGGGGTTCCTCTCAGCTTACTCTCTAACACTTTCGTTGTCTCACAAACCTGTGTTCTTTGTTTTAACAGAGGGTAAACAAACACATTGAGGAAAAAGGGATTTGGCACAGTGTGTAGTTGGATCCGGGGCTGTGCAGTCACAGCGAGAGCCAGCCAGCGCTGCTTAGGCTCGGGCATGATCTGCAATCATCGGCAGGGAAAAGAAAAGACTCTTCCATTTGTTAACACAATTAACAACCCCGGTACTGTTGTAATAAATCCTCAGAAAGAGGTCAAAGTGATTGCTCTTCAGCAGATATGTATAAAAAGAGAGGAAAAAGGTGGATGGATCCTTTCTCTTGTCGTTTCCCCCCAAAAAAACAGCTTCCCAGTTTTCCTCTAATGCCGTTCGTATGTCCAGGAAACGAGCCCGGCAGACAGCAAGTATGGGGAATCTATCTGCGTTGTTGGACTGTTTTATCCGGAGCCAGACCCAGAGTGTACTGTAGACCTGCCAACATGACACATTTGGAGCACCCTCGGACATCCAATAATGGGAGGGTCCACCTCTGTGTTTCCTTTCATCAACCTTCGAGAGCCTTGATCAGTCTACGAGTCTCTTGGAACAATTTGCATTAATTAAGAGGACCTACCTGCTTGTTTATGTAACAGATGAAAACAGCATGTAGTACATGTTTTATTATAGTCTCTAGGGGGGAGACTAGATACAGCTGCATCTTGCACACAAGAGTGTTTGAAAAACAGGGGGGAAAGGCCTGAACTTTTCAAAAACACATATCCCCAGTTACTTTCAGATTGCCACTGTGTTTATGTAATTATTCTTGAGGGATCATACACTATACTACTATCTTTTTGGATTAGCAATGCGTCCCCTGATTTACCACTTTACTCTTTACTGATTTATCAATGCTCTCTCAATGCTCAATCTCTTTCTTTTAATCCGCTATTTTTGGTGACATACACCCATTGACCCATCCGTAGATTCAACCTAATACAAAACAATCGCTTTATGGAGATTATGTATGCAAGAGTAAGGGAGGGAGAAAAAAAAGCCCTCCAGCCTCTTGTAAACATGCTGTAACTGGAGGGGTTGTGCACCGCCACTCTCTGAACAACGCTAATTATCAACCAAAGACATCCTAATTACATAGAGCCTTATTGCTAATGTTGCAGGCCTCTATGCCATCCGCCCACACTCTGAGCTGCGCCCCCCCCCTACCTCTGCCTCTCCTCCCACTACACCTTCAGGCGCAGCAACAACAGAGGGACTGAGATGCAGGCAGTTTGTGTACCTCTAAAGAAAATAAATCCCTACAAATTCAAAATTAAATGTGTCACATATCAAATGTCATTTTTAAGTTTTGTCCCTGGAAGTGGGTGGTGGGGGGGGGCGGCTAGATCTAACCCCTCGCCCCGCAGTTCCCCTCGCTTCCCCTCCCTCTGCACACACCCTCCTCCCACCCCGTGCAAAACGCGCGGGTGTCAGCCCCGTGGCCAATCCCGTTAGCACGCTGCAGCGGACGATGAAGGCCTCTCCAGATCGATTTCTGCCGCTGCGAGTTGCTCAGAGTCCTCCAGGGATCACAGTGTAGGTAGTGCTCCACAGCGCTCGGCCCCAGTGGGCTCTTTAGCGTCTTCCCCTGACGCATCTGTTTACACGTTAGCCGTCCTCTGCTCTCTAATGGAGACGTTGTTAAAGAGCTTCAAAGCAGGGAGCTCTTGTCACGGGCACTTGCTGAAACATGTGACAACTCTCTTCGTGGGTCCAGCCTGGCCAGCGTAATGCACTGACTGCACAGTGGCTGATGGGCTTGTTGCATAAGAAAGATCAGTCCTTACAAGCAGAGGGGATATGCTACATGTCAAATATATATATATATATATATATATATATATGTTAGTTGATGTTCCCTCATCGACACTAAGGGTTGTTGTATGGTTAGGGTTTTATCCTCTGATGTATTATTAACAAAATACATATTTGACTGCACCAAACTAATGCAAATGGTGATGGGAAAAGAGTAGTATGTTATCCTGTTTTTAAGCACCAAATAGGCTAACAAGGAAAAACAAATTATGTAAAGAATGGGAAAAAAAACAAAAGACCACATCTTTTCCAAAGTATACAACGTTTGATTCGAGGTGTGTAAATTTGTGAATAAAAAATGTTTTCAGTCAGGTGCAGTGTGCCATCTGGAATAGCAGCCCTGCCCCCGGTGGCCCTTTCCACTCGCCGGCAGGTGTCAAGCACAGCAACATATATGCATTAAGATTAAATCCCGTCCCATGCGGTTTGTACCTGTGTTAGAGTACAGTCAGCTCCATAGGTGTGAGAGTGCTAAGAGTATGCATTCATTATTTCTCACTGGGTCCCCACTTTTCCTTCACTTTTTTGAAAATCATGTTGCAAACTGCATAGACGATACAGACAAGGGAATATATAGTCAAATTAAAAGAATGCAGTTGAGGTTTTCTAGCAAAATTCTAATTACTTTTGATTTATTACCGTATGAAGCCCACTATGAAAACCTAAGAATAAACTTTTAAGCGTTTTTATCTGAGTTGCATATTTAACACAAAAAATCATCACACTGATTTAAGGAATTCATGTGGCAAGCTCAAATTATGTGAATTGGGATATTTTTCATATACTTTATTTACATTATTTATTCAACATTAATTTGTGCGACGGTTTAACCTGCGAGCATATTAACGTGTGCGCACGATATAATGTGATATACCCTGCATGAATGCATGCATGTCTGTGCGTGTCTGTGTGTGTGGGGCCTGCCAGTTTTGTCAGCGCTACAGCGTGAACGTTGTATGACAGGTTCACGTTGGGAGCTTAAGAATCCTGGAGGAGGCCGGCGTCATTTCCTGCTTAATCTACCTGCCTGGCGGCTGGCCTGAGAGGCGCCGTTAACATCGCCTTGAGCCGCACAAGTGACATGTGTCCAAAGCGAGTCAGATCAACATCCTTCTCTGAGAAGCAAATCGATGGTGACAAGACACCAAGGACAGGGGCAGGTTAATGCACAGCTCAGGTCGGAAAGGTCCAGAGCCATGATAGACTTACATTATTTCGTAACAAATTCCACTCAATACAAGGAGGCAATTTAAATAAACATATTCTCTTAAATCAATATAATGTGAGCGTTAGAAATTCTTCTTTTTTTTTCACTGAGCACAAGCTATGAAAGCAATTATTTCTTACACTATGTTAGGTGTGAAGACAAAAAGAGAGAAGTAAGGGTTGCTGAATGAGTCACAAATACTGTAACCATCTGTCGGCTTGAGCGCTTCTGTGTGTTTGCATGTGCACGTGTCTGCGCACGTGCGCGTTGCTCCCTTTTATGTGTGAGCGCATTAATGCGTGCTGTTTGCGTGTTCTTACCTCCACAATGTCAGAGTTGGTCCTGCTCTCGTGGGGCTCGTTGTACTCTGTGTATTTAAGCAGGACCTTGTCCATGTCTGTGCTGGCATACTGGAACAGCTTGTTGGTGCTGTTGAAGATGATCAGGGCAATCTCACAATCACACAGCACGCTCAGCTCGTACGCCTTCTTCATCAGGCCGAACTTTCGCTTTGTAAATGTCACCTGGGTAAAAGAAGGAGACAAAAAATATACATATTCACCGTGAGTCATTGAAGATTCGTGTTCACAGGTCCAGTGTCCCTGAACTGAATTTGATTGACCTGTAATCCAATCAATATATTTGTGTTCATGATTCAACTATAGAAAAAAGACTCCCCCTTTCTTGTGACGTTTATTCAGAAATGAAAAATAAAAATCAGACATGACAACGGTTCCCTTTTAATATTAAGAAAAGAGAAACTGAATAAAAAGGGGAGAGGGGTCTTCTGAAGGTTCAACGCTCCCTGACTGTAACAGTGCATCACCTACACCGGAAAAAAAGACCCTAGGTTTGTATTTAGGGAAGTGAAAATACTGAGTCTCAGACAGATAACGGTTATTGCCTCTACATCAAAGCACACAGAGGTTCGTCAACATCCGTCACGTAAAATAGTCTCTTTTTCACCGCCCAAATGTGCTTGCTTTCCATTCCCGCTCTGACACAAAGAAATAAACTATTACATAACTATTATGCCTAAAAAAAAAGCTGATGCGTACTATTTATTTACGCAATGGGACATTAATTCACGTTGTTCAGTTGTGTAGTTTCCCAATTAACTGCCTCTCATGGTGAATAACAAGGCATTGATATAAATAACAGATGGGCTCCCTGACTGCGCTTGAAATGATTTTTAAGAGCTCAAATAGGGACAATACACTCAACTTAAGTAACAAAATGTGTCTTCAATAATAGGGCCTTTTCTCTTTCTCTGTCTGGCTATGTGTAAGTGCATGCACGTGAAATGTGCGCGGGGCACAAATCTGCTAACAATAATAACACCAGCATTCAAGTGCCCACAGTGTCAAAATAGAACAGCCTCTATTCCTCTATTGTTTGGCTCCAAACAAGAGCAGTGAAAGTGAGTTCATTCCAGTGAGCACCTGCGTCTTTTCCAAGTCATGCGCGCAAGCTCTTTGGCTGTTTGAGAAAACCAGAAAAAGTGACAGCGTCATTTTTTGGGCAATGTGTTTGTGCATTGAACTTTCTTTCTTTTTCTTAATTTTCATCTCTGACTGTGTGTGATTTATGAGATTTATATTGACAAAGTTTTTTCTCTTACAGCTGGTGGCTAATCATCTCCGTTTGTTGATGATCTGAATTTTTGTCTCCTTTTATTCTCCTCTGACACTCAAGTGGGCCAAAAAACATAGAGGCTATAATTGTAGATTATAAAAATCTTGTAATGTAGTGTAAAGTGTGTAAAGTGTAATGTAAATGTAAATCAGGGAAATGCAGGATCTGCAGCATACATTTTCTTGTTGTGCCCTTCACATTTTCTTTTTACTACTCTGATGTCTCAAAGAGGAGATTGGGTTGAATGGGTATTGATAGATAGAGTTTTGGATTTCCTGAAATCATATCTCCCAGGATGCACCAGAGAAACTGAATATCAGACTATCCCTCACTTGCACCCTGTCCTTCTCCCTCTAAGTGAGTGGGATAAAACCCTGCATGAACTGCCGTACCCTGGACGAGCTAAAGTTTCCCAGCGATGTCCTAATGTCACGGTAAGCTATGTCTCAGGCAGCATGGGCTGAAACCAGGGAAACGGCATTTTAACTCATTACAAAGTAGCGTGTGCGACGTCGGGTTCAGAACCTCAGCACAAACACACATCTAATTCAGCGGCAACATCAGCAGAGATCGCTCCCCTGGGCTCTAAATACCATGCTGACATTTACGCAGTCATACCGAAATATGAAAAGAATTTACATCCACAAGATCAAAAGCCCTCTTGTGACGATGAAATTAATTGTGGTATCCAACCCAATCTATGCTGTACCTTTACGAAATTGAAAGCTGCGCACCTTAGAGGGGTCTTCCAACCTTCCAACCACAGAGCAACAGTACACATCGCACACAATCAAGTGAATAAGACGACAGGACCGTAGGACATGAGGTCAAAGAAGACTATTCAGGAACAGGGCGTGAAGAGTGTTGTCTTCCCCTGGTGGTTTCGATGCGAGGGGCAAATGCAGGACACGGCAAGCTGCCGGCCCAGCTCCGGCTATCACCCGCACACTGTGCCGGGGGCCATTACTGCTTCAAAAGGTGGCACGTGGCGCACATAATGGGCTGGGTGTGAGTCCCAGAGGTCCTGAGCTGCTATTCTCCAAGGGGAGGTCCCTAAGCCCGCTCGGATCGTTATCCACATATTACTGGACCACTTGCAAACATCAGCACAAACACACACACAGACACACATACAAAGGCAGCAGTGTTTGTTTAACCTGGACAACACTCAATCGTTGCTTCTCATTTTAACGTGTAAGAAGCAGATTTCTGATCAAAGGAATTATGTCGGCCATCTCCGTAAACTAGGAACTCTGAGTGCGATCCGCACATAGATAATGTTTCTCACATTGACTGACTTTAACAACACCACTAGAGGAGATTATGCGTGATTATGAAAAGCCTTGACTGACCAAACAATACCACCTACGTGAATATCACACCACACCCCCACATCTGAATCTGACACGTACAACCTGCTACCTCCAAATCACATATTACTGACGCTATGCAAATACATCCAGAAACACACAGGCATCAATACGATAATATACAGCGCAAGCGTACTCGCACAACTATGCAGGTTTTGATAATAATCTTGATGATAAATACAGGTGGAACAATTCCTGTGACTTATTTGTGCTTTAACCGTAGTAATCTTTATATTTAGCATTACATTTCACAGCGACAGAGACAACTCTGTCGTAACTCCATGGCCTGACATGAAGCTGTCATGTGACCTCTTCAGCCCATCGACATTCAAGCTGCTGCTGTCACCACCGGTCTTTCCTGTGCAAAGTCCAAACAGCTCTCGCCCCACAAAGCAGCAGAAATCATATTGTAAAATCATATGATAATTAACTTATTTTGCAAGCGGCGCACTAAATGGAAAACAAGAGGTTTCACCGTATTTGCTAAAATGTGTAGGTAAGGAAAGTTATTTTTATGTTTCACTCTTAATATACCTTATTTAGCGTTCTTACTTAGATGTTTTTAAGCATCATCATTTTGGTGCTTGGAGTTTAGCCTTTGGATTATGTTGAACTTGTTGTTGAACCGAAAAAATTCTAAAACTCCTGTATGACGGGGAGGGTTTAATCTCTTGACCAGTGGGTGCTGTTAGACACACCAGTGTGTTAATAACAGAGAGCATGACGTTGCAGCACCTTTGGAGCTGTGCATACTGGTGAGTGTGTAACCTGGGTGTGAAAACCTTGACACACACTTGATTTTGATTTATTTTCTTATTTGTTGAGGTAAAGACTAAATAATAGCATAATTGGCAACTTCGCAAAACAGCTCAACCTTTTAAGAGATGACTGTTATGGAATATTGTCAAAGAAAAAGAGAATTTTGGATGCTTTATGGGGTTTAGGAGACAACCCCCCTCCTCTGCTTTACCCCATCATATCTACTTACTACATATAAAGACATCTTTATACATGCTACATAAATCTTAATGACATCTGGCTCATAATGAGCTCTCTGTCACCCTGAGAGCATGGTGAACATGCACTGTCGACAGTAACACACAACCCTTATTCGTTTATTCGTTTACCCCTGTCCTCCTACGCCCACGTGCATGGATCCCAAGAGATTCATGCACGTGCACACACAACGGACACACAATTTCAGTCAGACACCTCCCGTTTAAACACCTAAAAGAGTTATCACCCCATCCGTTCAGAGCATGTACCTCTCCATTCCAAATCATTTACTTTTCTTACCATGTTATTTTTCTTTCTTTTTTTAACGTTTTTGTTTGAAAGTAAATAAAAGTATTGTTCCACTGTAAAACAACCAATAAATAATAAATGATGAAAATAAAAGTTCTGGACTTGCACAATTGACTCGTCAAATCTCCTCTGGCTTAACAGGAGAAAAAAACGCCCAGGATAAACATGAGGACGGAAAGAACGTCGGGATAGTGGCTGATTCTATGCCACATGGGTGAGAGGGGAGAGAGAACGAGGGGAGGGCGGAGGAGGGAGAAGAGAGGGGGCGGACGCACAGGAAGCACATTTGTATGCATTTCCTCTCATAACAGGAAGAGGCCAGTGGCTTCCCCTTCACAATGGCTTCGCTTCTGCTTCCCACCTCCTGCCTGCTTCCCTGGGGGAGGAGGAGGTGGAGGAAGACGAGGAGTGGAGAGAAAGGCACCAGAAACTGCTGGTTAGCAAACCAAACATGGCTGTGCAGGGACACACACACACACACACACGTAGATGTCAGCCAGCTATGGAGCAGCACCATTTGTCCTGAGACAAACACTTATCCCATTGTCAGGGGCCGAGCAGGAAGTTAGACGAAAGGAATAAGAGGAGCCGAAGACCTGGTCCTGAACTCTCCTTCGAAGCCAAGAAGGCTGTTAAAAGGGGCATTACGACAAAAGAGGCTTGTCCCACCTCTAATATATGCTCGGCTCTTCTAAAACCCCACTTATCATCCTTTTTTTTTCAGAGCGCCTTCATTATACAGCAGGAACTGGAAGCAGCAGACCACAAACATTTCTCTTTTTGAAAGTCGGAATAGAAAGTGTCCACTTAGAGTTGTTAAAAAAAGAGGAGTGTCTTTATTACGTGGTTTTAGTTATAGCTGTCTAGTTTCAATTGTTCTTCTCACCAACACTTAATTACATTTCAGGGCGGCAGTCTGAATCCAAACTGACCCAAACTGAAAAAAGGATAAGCCCACAGATGAAAAAAAAGTGTTAAATGTTTCATTGCAAGGCCAAGATGAGGGGCCGGAATGGGATAAATAATGGGATTGTCATTTATTTGAGGTGTAAAAGAACCAAAACAACTAATCTCAACTACTTGAGATGGCAAAACAATACAACACTACAGCAGAGAAAAGTTGGGAGCTTAGTGAGCTGTTTTCAGTTGAGGTCTCGAAGCGCTGAACATATGACAGAGAGGAGTGCCACCCGCTGGGGTAAAAGAAGGAGATGGTAGAAGGTGGGAAACAGGGAATTAGAGGAGGGGCGTAGGGGTGAGGAGCTAGCCTGTGGGCCTCATTATTTTCCTGCTGTTAATTTCACTCGCACATTTTCTCACCCCGGTGCTGTTGATTGCAGGAACGAAGGCTTCGCAGAAATAAAGAGACCCCTTATTTCAGCTTCGGTTAACATGGTGAGGCAAGAGAAGCGGCATGGGAAGACATTAATAAACATCTTTTTTTCCGTTTTTTTTCTTCCAGCCAAGTTAGTATCAGTGTGTCTGCTGTTTGTGGGAGCTGGGGGATCCTGCTGTTTTGCTTCCTGTCACTGATGACCTGCTCCATGTTTAACCTTTGGCCCCAGGTCCCTTCCCCCTTGAAAACCGCGTGTCTCTCCCACAAACACACACACACACACACAAAAACACACACACACACACACACAGATTGGTCCAAACAAGTCATCCTAAATTAAGCCCACTGAGTGTACTGGCTGGAGAGGTAACACTAATTAGAGCCAATTGCAGCAAATTAGTCGATCAACAAGGCCGACTCCAGAGAGACAGACACGTTTTATGTACATTTGCATACAGGTCCACACAGCGTAGACCAGTGCACATAAACCTGGGACCAAAAATAGCATCTAAGTATGTGTTTGAGTTGCATAATCCAAATGTCTCAAATCTATACCAGTGTGTGCACAAAATACCTGTGCATGTATCTTGAACTTTAGGTGTGTGCCTGAATGTGTGTGTGTGTGTGTGTGTGGTAGCTGTGGCAAGAGAGTCTGCTTTCTGTGTACAGCCCATGAGTTTATGGCACAGGGGGCTCTTTCATGTGCCCGAGGGTGGGAGAGGGTCTGAGTGGTCAGGGGGCTTGGAGCCAGGGCTCCACACTGCTGCCCACTGTCCAGCGCTCCGGGCAGCCAGTCAACGCCAGGGAGGCCTGGCCCTTCTGTCCATGCTCTGGGGAAGTGTTTCTGAGCCTGGGGGTGGCAGGACAAAGTGGCCGCCCAGAGAGAGGGAGCCGGACCTCGTGCCTGCTATGATACTGCCGCTGCAGGGGTTCGGGAGGCGCTGTGGCCCAGTAGGAGGCAAGGTAGCGTCCACAGTCCACGTCCGTGACCGTACTATGACGTGTGTATAGAACCATGAAAATGATTGTTATTGTTTTATTGTTTTTTTTTATTGCTATCATGGAGTGAAAATGCTTTATACTATTTTATATTTCATGCAAGAGCTTCTTAACATTTAGATTATGACAAATAACTACAACTGAATACTATATATTTTGTACAAATCATAAAAACAACATCAAACTATTAAATGCAGAATAGTCTTACGGCCGACCTTTTAGGACAACACCAAAAACCACTGGTGTTTATTTTGCTTGAGCTTCGGGTCGTTTCCTTAAAAAGGAAGTGAAAATATGCAAAGCCAAAGCTTCCGTTTTTTTCTTTTTCATGAAGGAAATTTTAGTTTTCTGTCTCTGTCTTGTGATGTCCGCTTCTACGAAATGTAGGCATGTCCTTTATTTAGACTGAAGGTTCCATGACACCAAATCGTCCATGCTCAGCGTGCTTACAATGTCGACCACATGACTGGATGACATCATAGCAATAGTACTTACTATTCAACTAAAACAAACAACTGAAAAAAAACGAATCTAGCATTTCAGAGATCAAAACAACAAAATACTGTGACATATTGATTTTTCCTTTCCCTGAACCCTTTCTCTCTCCTCCCTTCCCCCCCTCCTCGCTCTGTAAGTAAAGCCCGGATATCTCAGGCATCGATTCCCCTCAGGTGTCCTTCCTGTCTCCCTCTTTTCCTCCTTATCCGCAGGAGCCGGAGTGCCTGGTACAACTGGCGGGCCCAGTCTAAGGTGGGATGAGAGAGAAGGGCTGAGATAACAGTAAGGAGGAGGTGTGGGCGCTGCAGCAACATGATAGCTTTCGTCCTCATCTGAAACTCTGTGACCTCCTCTTTGCTCTTGTCTCTCTGTCTGTTGCTAACATACATGCATTAATCAGAATACAGAGAATTATCATTATTCAAGTATCGACTCTAAAGGCACCCTGTTTTTGGAGATGAGTGTAAAACCGTCTTACAGGAACTTTCTTCCTCATCTCAGGATTACTTCACTCCTCTCACTCTCCCCATTGGACCTTACACATTACACTCGCTGAGAGAAGTCACGACAAGTGTTGCAATCTGCTTCAATTACTCTTCCAGCACTGCACAATCAATTCATTGAGCCTTCTTTTTATGTCACTTTACTCTGGCTGCATTTAACAAAGCACTCTGTGAGAAACTGTTGAGGACTATTTCTGTGTGCGTCGGACTATAAAGAGGCTAAGGCGATGAAGTGGGTCTGTGGGTTCATACAACTTGTGTTTGCCTGTTTGACCTGTGATCCAGGGGCCACGTTAGCAGCGTATGGATCCAATTGGGCTGCCAGGATGCTGACAGAGTGTCAGTGGTAAGTCGTGGCACAGGAAGTGATCAATTGTCGGCCTGGAGGGCAGTGAGAGAGCTCTGTCTCTATCTGTTTCCTGCCACGGAGGCAGCGGCTGCTTGAATCCCGCCGTCCACAATTTATTAGGTCTCTCTCTCTCAAGTAGTGCCAGCTGTTGTTAAAGATTTCCATTGTTGCCAGGTCCGTTTTAGGTTTGTCTGTAAAGTAACTTTGGTTTGAAGATGTATCTCACGTGCTGTGCGAAGGTAAGCAGCCACAGCCACAGCAGTCCTACTGTTACTGATTTAGGCCGAAGGAAAATATTTGTCCAGAGTTTGTCTCCCAGGTTGCTCTTCATCTCCACCCTGTTGGCCCATCTCTGTTTGGTTGTTTGTTTGTGTTTTCCCCGGTGCTACCACCCTCCTCCCGGTAATATTCCACTGCCATGGAGCTAAACTTGGTGGCATGGCGTGAGCTGCTGGGTGTGTGCAGGGTGTTGGAGTTGTGAGGCCGCAGCCCTCAGAGCAGCCAGTGATCTGCAGAATGTTTTTTTGTTTTTTTTGAATTACAGCTGTTCTCATGCAAATCCCTTTTTGGAAAAAAAAAAAACTACTGGGATGTTGAGATTTTGTGGAAACAAACCTGCCATTATAACCCGATGGAACTCTTCCACTGAAAGCAATAACTTCTATCTCTGAATGCACCATTTGGTCGCCCAGTTCACATATTGCCCAGACTCCCTGAAGACCTTCATTGTTGAGGGCTATGTGGGGTGTTTCTCCTTCCTCCATCTTACACCCCTCCCCTTCTTCACCCTCGTACTCATCCATCCTCCCCTCCCCCAGGGACTCACCTGTCTGTTGCGTTCATCCATAATCCGCGTGATCTGAATCTTTTTCCTCCCCATCGTCCCCGTCTCTTTTCTTTCTCTCCTCTTTCTAAAGAACTTTATGCTTTCTTCTCTCTCCTCTTTCTTCTTCTTTCTCCTCACACTCCTGCTCTTCCTTTATCTGACTTTTTTTCTGCTTTCTATTTCTTCCAATCAACTCAAAGACTCCAGCATCCGTACCTGCAAGAGAGAAATGGGGAGGGGAAGGAGAGGAGAGGATAAGCATTACATGAAATGAAATATGGCAAAATACTGAGAGAAAAGAAAAATAATAAAAGTGGCATCGCGGCAGCCACAAGGGAGGGTGAAGAAAGACAAAGAATCTGTCAACAACGTTGTGAGAACGGCTGTGTTTTTCACTGTCGATATCATGCAAATCAGTTTTTGCATTTTTTTTTCCCAGGCACAGACTATGAGAAGAGACAGCGCTGTCAGGATCTCGCTTCGTTCACAGGGACTTTGACAGTGTTTTGGAAGTGCCGCTAACTTAAACGCTCTAATCACCAACACTGTAACATTACCTCCAGACCGAGAAATACATTTCATTTCTTCCCACGAACTGCACCGTGTTGACACTGGAAACAGCCAGATGCAGCTTTTTCTATTTTATCCGCAGCTCATCCCCAAAAGGGCAGACATGAGTCGCAGGACGGAATACAGATGTAAAAACCGAGATCACCCTGCCGGCCACATTTTGGCAAAACAAAGCCATGAAAAATATAGCGAGAAGAAAAGGGATAAGAGGTCTTTTGAAACAGGGCAAAGGGACAGCTGATGAGCTGGACGGCATGTCCAAAGAGAGAAAGCTGCGCTTCAAAAAGTTTGTGCGCGAGTGAGTGACCGTGTGTCCGCGCGTTCGCGCCCATGTGTGAGCGTGCACACGTTGGCGCGTGTGCGTGTTCTTGTCTGAGCTTGGCTAAGCCGGAGCTCCGGTGCATCTCTCCAGAGTGCTAAAGTAGGCCAACCCAATCTATCTCAGGGAGGAGCAGAAGAACTGTTGTTGTGTTTTCTTTTGACAGTAGAGGTGATAACGTCCCTCGTTATGCAAATGAGCATCCCATTATTTAAGCTCAGTGCAATGCAGGGGAGCTGTCAGCGCCGTCACATAAAAAAAAAAATCCTCCATCTACCCCTGCCTTTTTTTCTCTACTTTCCCCTTCTTCTCTCTTCTCTCCTTTCTGAACCAGATTTCCGGCACCTGGCAGCACAAGCATCAGACATTGATGTGGAAGACGACACTGCTCCACCAAAAGACATGTCAGTCTCAGTCTCTCTCTCCATCACTCTCTCTATCGCTCTCCTCTCATACAACCTTGCTCTCTTCTTCAATCGCTCGCATTCTCTCCCTCGCACATTCCCACACATACATGCATATTGTAATGCACTTCCTTTCCCCTTCTTTCCTTTTTTTTCCCGTCTTCCCCTAACCTGAATCCATGTGTTTATTGAGTAACATGCATGAGAAAGCACAGGAAAGCTCTAAACCCCTGAGGTGAGCGCAGCACATTGCGACGCACTTGACCTCTTTGTGCAGGAGAGTAGGACATTGATAATGAAAGTGCGTAATAGGGACATCAAGGGATACTGCGTCTCCTACTGACAGATGGAGGCACGTAGCGGTAGTACGTAACTGTAAATCTTTTAATTTGCCACTGAAGACACAGGCTGTTTGGTTCCTTCAAGCTCTGGGTTCCTGTGGTGTTTAGTTCAGGAAGGGCTAACTTTGATGATGTGATTTGTGTTATTTGCATAACACAGATTTAGCAAATATAAGATATTTTTAGGAATATTATTACACTGAATATCGTGTATATTATAAAGCCCAAAACTTCCATCATACAAAAAATGGACAACAACAACGTGAGACAATACAATTTGAACAATAATGAAATACATGACAAAAAACCTCCTGGGTTGGTTTGAAATACGCCCACTTTATGGAAGTAATGAGATGCATACATGAATGCAGCATTCAGCAGTTACTGCACCATCATAATGATAACAAGATCTAAAAAAAAAAAAAAACACTTTAGCATTGCTCTGCGCGAACACACCCATCCGTAGACGGAAAAACAAAGAGCTGCCCTCCGGTAGAAAATAAAGAAGAATGTTGTCAGACAAACTGGGATTACAAGCCAACACTAAGGCGCTTGGCACAAGACAGCCAGACAAGGATATCAATCAAGTCGGCGCACTTCAATCACAGGCTGACAGCATCGTCCCTTCGCCGCCTTTGTGTTCAACAGCCCGGGCACGGCTCCAAACAAGGAGGCGTTACCTCAGTGATCCCGGCCGCCCGTAGGCCTCCACCTCCCCCTCGCCCCCCCCAGCACACCGAGCGGAGCTGAACCTCTCAACGTCAACAACCGCTGGGGCAACACCGTAGGCCTCACGTAACATTAAGGCTGAGATTAAGCTTGTGTCCTGAACATTTAATCCCTGCTTTTGGCTCTCAGCACCAGCTAACGCTCCCCGAGGTATAAGGTTCTGCTGCCGCTTACCCCCCCCTCCCCTTTTCCATCCCTCCTCACTCTTACCTCCTCTACCAACTCCTACGCAACAAGCCTAGTTCCCCTTCCCTCCATCCCTATTCCGACTCTCTCTCTCTGTCCCCGTCTCCCGGCCAAGATCCCCCCCCCTCCCCCCACACACTTTTCCTCACACCCGCCCCCGTCCCATATGAGTGCCAGGCAGCTTCTGGGTAAGAACTGAGTGCCCACCTCCTCATCGGGCTCCCGTCCCTCTCATTCCCTCATGGTGAATAAAGCATCAGTTCACTTAACAGATTACCACAGAATCACTCAATCCAATTTAGCTTCATTATGACAAGATTGCAGAATGGAGGGAAATGCAGGAAAAGGAGGGCTGCTCAGTGAGGATGTTCTCGTGGAACAGGTCAGTAATCCATCGTAATTTGACACCTGACCTTGAGAGGGGAAGATACGGGGAGATAGAAACAAGAGGATGAATGAGGACAGATTGTGAGACAGAAAAAAAAAGAAATAACAAGCTTGTACACATCATGCCACTTTGCTAATCCCAAAAATGACAAACACATTAACGGGGGCCTTTATCTTCTCTGTGGAGTCGGACTGATGGCACGCCTCCATTCACACCAGCCCGGTGACTGGATGGAGGCCGGAGCGAACCGCGAGATCGCACCGAGCACACGGAAGTACAACGATGCCGCGCTCGTTTTACAACATGGGCCCCAACTCTCCGTGTCTTAAATTGGACAGGTGACAATGAACGAGGAGGAGGAGGAGGAGGAGAAAAAAAAACGCAGAAAAGGAGAGAAGAGAGGGACATTTAGTGAAGCATAAAAAAGGGATCTTTTGAACAGGCACCAGGCCTCTCCAGGGGGAGGGGGAGAGCTGTGCCCACGACCCTCCCATCTGTTAAGCAGACGGACACAGACAGAGAGAGAGAGAGAGAGAGAGAGAGAGATGCAGGTTGGGGGAGGATGGAGGAGATGGAGAGGGAGCAGCGATTCAGCACACAGATCTAATGAGCGTCCTCTCTCTCTCTCTCTCTGAGTCTCAGAAGTAGAGCTGAGAGGACGACGGGAACATATATACACTCAGTGCACCACAAGGCTTGATTCTAGGTCGCCTTTCTCCCAAGTGTTTAGTCACGTAAAAACCAATATACGGCGCACAGCGCCCTTTCTCACATTCTAATAGACGGTCTGGAGGGTGCTTGTTAATGTGGCTTTGTTATTGAGACAACTCCTCTGAATCAAGGGGAGGTGACAAGAAGGGGAACTTTACCTTTACTCATGCTCGCGACCAATTTGTCACTTTGAAAGGCAGCTGGATAGTTTTGTTCATGAATAAGGAGAACTCAGAAGAAGAAATGCGCACGAAACACAAAGAAGTTCCAAGAACAAACATTTCGCTAAATTGTCTTTCTGATAATTCCTCCCGAATTTGATGGCGAGGAAATGTTAAAGTGAAACTGTGAATGCAGCATGTGTAGAATTGTGCTGATGCCGATGTTCTCGAATCCTAATTCTATACATGGTATAGCAAATTGGGGAAGGTGATTTATCATGACAGGATTGGCGATGTTTTTCTAAGAAATCCCGCCTCGGCAGCACAGCTCCCGCTCATGGTACATCTGCAACACATTTGGTAATAGCATATGTCCTAAAAAAAATAATATCTATATATTTATATATATCAGTAGTTTCCCCTATCCTCCTAGGAAATGTGGTTGTGAGGATTTGAAATAACATATTACACAGCAGTAAGTAAACCTTTTAGGAGGTGTATGGTACATTAAATAAACGCTCTCTCTTTTTAAATAAACTCCCATTTCCTTGTAGAGGAGGTTGAAAAAAAGTGCTTTAATATGGTTTTCCAAATACAATCTGAACGCACACGCACGCACACACACGGCGCCTCATTTTTTACTGGAGCATTTCTGTCAGGTAGAAGTTTATTTATTTCCTCAAGAACAGGTTTCTTCTTTGGGTTTTTGATGCCGTTGTATCTGCGGATGTGTTTGTGAGCTCGTTTAGTATGTTTGTGCTTTATTTGGAAAAAGTGGTACACAGCCCTTTAACTCCTGCTGGGATGGATGGAGACGTACCAGCAGAAATGAGAGGAGGAGAAGGATCAAGTAAAAGGAGCGAGTCGATGGCCAGGCAGGATGGAAACGGGAAGAAGAAAAAAAAAATGTGTATCAGGTCTCATTGTGCCTCTAATGTCATTACAGGCAGTGACTCCTCTGTGTGGCACGCTGCACTACCCATCTGTCAGAGCGAGATAGGCAGGGTGACGAATGGCTATCACTGCTACTTCCCTGAGCCCCCACCGCCCACCCACCCACTACTCTAATGTCTGTATCTTTTTGGAGTGCTGAGGGAGAAGAGTGACCTAAACCTGGGCGGTAGCCCACGCGTAGGTGGGCCTCTGTGGCTTTGAATCCCGGCAGTTATTAGGGCGAATTTAACATGTTAGCGGCTAAAGAGATTAGCAAAATGTACATCTGGGGATTAGAGCGATAGTGGTGGATCATCTTATAATGTGTTCATTCCTTTTTCATTTTCCAAAAAGCATCCCAGTTAAACCTGAATTTGAGACGATGTGTGTGTGTGTGTGTGCGTGTTTGTTGGAGGATTTGTCTTCACCTGTCTCTCTCTATTAGGTCATGATTTAGTTGGATCATTAGTGGGA